GCATGTCTTCGTAAATGGCTGGTGCCAGCAAGCTCTACAAAGTACCCACCTTGTTTTCTCCCTAACCAATATTTATAGAGGTCCACATTCTTCTTAGTGACTTTTAAAATATCAGTGCTAGTTTGTGTATAAAAGTTCACATTGGTGTCATATATGTTTTACAATGCGAACCCATGAAAACACGTTAATATTTTGCTGTCATCCAATGTGTTAAAATTATATTTATAGCCCCCCCCACCTTCCCCCCAAAACCAACCCATTACCATAATATACATTCTGACTCATGGCTTCCTCTTGTGTTCACTGAGTAGAACTGAGCCCCCTCGGGTTTCTTGGCTGTCATCTTTATGGAAACAGAATCAAGCCTTTCCTTCATTGGTGTTGCTGGGTAGATTTAAATCACCAACCCTCTGGTTAGTAGAGGAGCACACAGCCACCCAGGGAGCAGGTATAAAGCCACAGCAATCAGGGCAGCGTGGTATTGGTGTATACTTCTAGACCAATACTGGGCTAAACCTGAGAGCTCAGATGTAGACCCATGCACACTTGACCAGTGATGTTTTGACAAGTATGCCGACCGCTCAAAGAATAGTCTCTTCAACTGGTGCTTTTTACTTTTTTAAAAACTGGCGGTCATGTTTTTCATTTTCAGGCTGTCCAATTTTTCCCCTCCTGATTTGTTCATTTTCTCAAAATACTTTTGTATTTGTTTGTTTCGTGGATCTTGGATGCACAAAGTGGGACTTTTTAAGAGCTCTGGACTGTTCTCTGCAATATCTGCCTCAGCTGTGTGATTTTGTTGGGTATTCTGGTTTGGGAGCTCTACTTGAGGGTCAAAAGAGACCCTGATTTGGAGCTCTGAGTAACTAGGGCAGATTAGGTGGACAGGGAACCGGTTGTTGGGCCAGGTAACTCCTAAATGGTGGTGAAGGTCTTGTCCCAGGGCGCCAGTGTGTCCAGTTCTGCTTCTGATTTGTTTAGTTTCTCCCAGATCCTCACTCGGATCTGTCTGGGCAGAGTTAGGGTTGAAAGGTGGGTTGGTCAATATTCTGTGTTCACAGTAGAGGGACTTGCAAGGAAGGTACTGACTGATCTGTGTAGAACTTTAAATCGGCCAGCGTGCTTTCAGTTCTATGGCTCTTTCCCACCCCACATGAAACAGGTGTTGCCAAATCTTGAGCCTGCTGGTGCTCAGTAAAGCACTTAGACCCACCACGCTTAGAGTTACCTACAGACTATAGGCAACTCTACCTGTCCTCGGTGCTGCACCCACAACCTGCCTTTAACTGCCCTTTGTCTTGGTATTCAAGCATAATTGCCCCATCCCATATGCTCTGTCATTGTGGATTCCTACCTTCATACCCCTGATGAAATTGTTATGGGGTTGCAAAAGATAGCCACGTTATCTTCTGTTCATCCACGTGAATGGTAATATTTTGTGTCTTTAACTTGAGTTCCATTTGCATCTTTTTTTCTCTTTAATGTACCTTTATCTTCTTAATTTATTGATATTAACAACCCTAATGGCTAGGGCAGTCATTGTTGTGCTCATAGGAAGTGATTTTTCCAAGGGATCGGAGCATAATTAGTGGCAGTGTAAGTAATGCCATTAACTGGTTAGCCTCTTGACCTGGTTTGTACTATTGCACCATGTTCTCTATATCCCATTTGTTTTATTTGTAGGATTCTGATTTGTTTCTGCATTTGTTTTAAGGAAAGATTTATTTCACTTCTTAGTTTATGCTCACTAGCTGGAGTTTTATCCTTAAGCCTTTTAATCACACATGAGCTGATTTGATATATATATTTTAAGGATGTTGTTTAAGTAATCATTAAATAATAGTTTGATGTTTCTATTTCCATAAATCTACTTTAGGGTGGGAAAGTGATTGTGTTTTGAAGGAAATTTATTGACAGAGAACCATAGAATATTCTATGGAATATATTTGTTTTGTTTTTCTATTTTGATTTTAGTAGTAAGTAAACTTTAAAAAGTATTAGATTCAGGATCTGAGCTCAGCAAATACTTGGGTAATCTACATCAGTCTAGTGGTGACTCGTGTGGGGAACTTCTTAAACATAGAAGGGGTATCAGTAAAAGAAAATTGAAATAGTAGTCATAATCCTTTGTACCTTAAGTTATGAAGATGATATTTCATAAGTTGCCTATAACCTTTACTTTGGTGGTGACTTAAAAATAGAGTTGTTGGTAGGGGCCTCACTGCAACCACCACCTGGTCCCGCGCCATCCTCACAGTTATTCTCATTTGAACCTACTGTTCCAGACACTGTGTCAGTCAGCCTGTTGAGGGCCTGCCTCTGTTTTGATGCCCTGCTACTTTACCAAGCATGGTGTCCTTTTCCAGGGATTCGTCTCTCCTGATAACATTTCCAAAGTACATGACACGAAGTCTCACCGTCCTTGCCCCTAACGAGCTTTCTGGCCGTGCTTCTTCCAAAGCATTTATTTGTTCTTCTGGCAGTCCATGTACTTTATTTCTTTTTAAAGAATTTTATTGGGGGCCCTTATAGATATTACAACAACCTGTAAATCAATTATATCAAGCGAACTTGTACATATGTTGCCATCATCATTTTCAGAACATTGTCTTTCTACTTGTATTAGTCTGGGTTGACTAGAGAAATAAATTCATAGACACTCATGTGTATAAGAAAGAGCTTTATCTAAAAGAGCAATTGTATGTTGAGAGAACATCCCAGCCCAGCCCAGATCAAGACCGTAAATCTGATATTAGCTCATATGTCTAGTACCAGTCTGTAAATTCCTCTTCAGACTCACGCAACACATGCAATGATGCTGAGTGCAGGAACATCACAGGCCAGTGGGTGGAAAGTCTTGTGGGTCCAGTAGCAGTGGAAGCATCTTAGCGCTAGCATGGGTTTCCACGTGCCTTCTTCAGCTCGAAGGCTTTGGCTGCATCAGTGTAGCACCATCAGGCTCTTTGTCAGTGATGTCTCTGAGGGAGTGAGTGTATCTGGACTCCAGTGAGCTATTTATCTCCGTGGACCCAGCAAATGAGGTCATCAAGCTGCAACCTGATTGACAGGCTAGACTCCACCCCTTCACAAGTTGACACCAGATTATGTAACTACCACACTACTTGAGACCTTTGATATCAGCTCCTCTTTTCCCCCTCCCTTCTCCCACCCTCCCACCCACGTGAACTCTTAATAAATTATATATTATTATTTTTTCATATCTTACACCATCCGCTGTATCCCTTCACCCATAAGTCCATGTACTTTACATATGCTATGCCAGCACCATAATTCAAATGCATCCATTCTTATTTGGTCTTCCTTGTTCAGTGTCCAACTTTCACATGCATGCGAAGTGATTGAAAATTTCGTGGCTTGGGTCAGGCCCACCTTAGTTCTCAAAGTAGCATCCTTGATTTTCAACACTTTAAAGAGGTTTTGTGCAGCAGATGTACCCAGTGCAGTGTGTCATTTCATCTCTTGACTACCGCTTACATGAGCATTGACTGTGAATCCAAACAAACAAAATCTTTGCCAATTTCAATCTTTTCTCTGTTTATCATAGGGTTACCTATTAGCCCCATTGTGAGGATTTGGGCCATGTTCACATTCAGTTGTAATCCATACTGAAGACTGGAATCTTTGATCTTCACCAACAAGTGCTTCAAGTCCTCAACTTCAGCCAGCAAGATCTATATGCAAGATTGTATCATTTGCATATAGGTTATTAGTAAGCCTTGGGCCAATCCTCATATCTCATCCTTCTTCATATAATCCAGCTTCCCTAATTACTTGCTCAGCAGACAGATTGAATAAGTATGGTGAGAGGGTACAACCCTGATGGGCACCTTTCTCGACTGGAAACCCTTGTTCTGTATTCCCTTGTTCTATTTGCACAACTGCCTTTTGATCCATGTACCAGTGCAACGTGAGCACGATTAAGTATGCTGAATTCCCATTCTTCTCAAGGCTATTCATGCTTTGTTATGATCTACACAGTCCAGTGCCTTTGCACAGTCAGTAAAGCACAAGTAAACATCTATCTTGTATCCTCTGGTTTCAGCTGTGATGTCAGCAATGATATCCTTCGTTCCATGTCCTCTTCTGAATCTGGCCTGACTTTCTGGCAGCTCCCCATCAGCGCACTGCTGCAACCATTGTTGGATGACCTTCTGCAAAATTTTACTTGCATGTGTTATCGGTCTTTTTCCATTCTGTTGAGTCACCTTTCTTTGGCATGGGTACCAAAATGGATCTCTTCCAGTCAATCGACCAGGTAGCTAGCTGCCTTCCAAATTTGGGGGGATAGACCACTGTGGGCCGTTCATGCTTCGTTAGCTGTTGAAACATTTCCATTGGTATTCTGTTAATTTCTAGAGCCTAGTTTTTGGCTAATGCCCTTTGGCATCTGGCAGGGTTCCGCTGCTCTTCACACAGTTTTCAGGGGCTAATTCCCCAGAGGTGGACTATTCAGAGACTATTTCTTCTTTTTAGTCTGGGAGCTCTGCTGAACCCTGTTCACTTTGGGTGACCCTGCTGATATTTGAAACACCAGTGACATAGCTTCTAGCATCACGGCAACAAGCCACTATAATATGACCAACTGACAGGTATTGGTGGCAAAATGGAGTGGATGTCTTTAACAGAAAATTGAAATAGCAGTTCTCCAATTACCTATTTATTTCAATTGTAAAGATTCTATGTTATAAAGATAAGGTAGTTTGGTGGTTAATTTTTTACACTTAAAGAGGTGATAGCTACAAATATTCTAAGATGGACTGTTTATTAGTACTTTCATTCAGTTACTGAATATGCAAGTAAATGTATAATGATCTTATTTGTCTGTGGTAAGGATGCCTGCATTGTTTTACAAGACTTAATGATAATAGTGATAGTTCCAGTTCTTTGATTTTATTCACAGAATACAAAGGTAATTATGGTTATTTAAGAAAACATGGATAAACACGCATCTTTTTGTCTTACTTTTAAAAAAACAATAGGAGCAGATGTCTCAAGTATTAGATGCCATGTTTGAAAAATTGGTCAAAGAAGGGGAGCATGTCATCGATCAAGGTGACGATGGTGACAACTTTTATGTGATTGATAGGTAAGTCTGACATAACCTCATGACTGCAATTTAAAGAACTTTTGGGTAAACCAGCAATGGTTATTAAAACTGATGGGAAACTAATAGTGGTTACTACGACCTCTCTATTTTTGTTACGACTGTAACCTGCAGATGCATGCAGTGGGTCACAGCAGATCAGGGATCGCATTGCTTGAAAGGGCACTAATCATCTTAATTGAGGAGCCCTGCTGGCGCAGCCGTTTGCACTTTCGGCTGCTAATCCCAAGGCCAGCAGTTTGAAACCATTGCTCAGAGGAGAAAGAGGAGGCTTTTTACTCCCATAGAGATGTATCGTTTCAGAAGCCCATTGGGGGTTGTTCTGAGTCGGACTGGACTGAATGGCAGTGATTTGGGAGGGTTTTTGTTTTCGATAACTTTTGCTTAGCTGTCATCTAGGAATCTCAGTGACATCATAGAGGTTACACGATGGGCCGTGATCCCCAGGATCAGCAGTTTAGAACCCCAGCAGCTCTCTACTGAAAGGAGTTACTTTCTCAGACACATCTCAGAAACTCAGGGGCAGTTCCACCCCGCCCTCCAGGCTTGCTGTGAGTCTGCATCTGCTCGGTGGCAGCGGGTGTGTTCATTTATGTTTTCCACGTTGGCTGACTTGAGAGGTGGTGTGTAACAGTACTCGTCAGTCAGAGCCCTGTGACACTACAAAAGAAGGGTCACAGGACCTGGGGAAGCATTTGACTCACAGCATAACCCAATCTGGATGATGATGGCTTTTAAAAAACATATTTCCTATCAAAGTCAAACCTATGCTTGATGTTTAAAATTCCAGTATCTCAGAAGTGGGTAGAAGATAAAAACAGTCTCTTCCTAGTGTGTCTGCCACGCAGCAGCTGGTAGACGAGTGACACAAGACTGTTTGTGCATGATTATATTTGCCTGTAAAAATCTTTATAGAGACACTGCTGCATTTATACTGAAAGTCTAGCTTCAGAGAAATCACGCTGTGCCTTATTTACCTCATGATCGGACAATGTGCCCACAATAATTAGGTGAGACCGAAATGTAACCAGGGAGCATTTTGAAGTGAGTCCTTATTTTTTCACTTCTGTAAAGAGATGATGAAGTGTTTTTATTTTATTTTATTTTATTTGATGAAGTGTTTTTAGATGGTATCATGAGCTCCTCCCATTTTGTGAGGAATACAGATTATCTCTTGGATAATATTTGCTTCTCTGGATAGAGTTGCATTCAACTCGGGCCTTGCTGAAAATTACACCCCTTCATCTCCAGAGGAGCCCGTCTTGGAGACCTAGTTGTTAGGCCCTGGGTGGCAGTTCAAAACCACCAGTCACTTTGCAGGAGAAGGAGGAGGCTGTTTACTCCCATCAAGAGTTACTGTGTTGGAAACCCAAAGGGATACTTCTACCCTGCCCTATCGGGTCAGCATGAGTTGAATTTTATTTCCTGAGCCCTTATTTTGACTTTTGATTTGTGAATGGCATCTTCCATACAAATGCTCTTTAAGTCTTTTTCTTTTTTGTTTCCCTGGAGTAAAGAACGGTTTTTCCCTGTTTCCCCCATTCCCTCCGCCCCCGCCTGGGTGACTTCTAAGCCTCTATTGCCAACACTCCAGCCAAGGCGGAGGTGTCCTCTGGTTTTGGACCGAACAAAACCAGGTACTCCTGTCACAGTCAGACCTGGGCATTGCCAACAGCTTCCACCAGTGAAACGCATCAGCATTTTATTCAGTTCCTCATCTGCAGTCCATTTATAGGCCATATGTGAACCCCAAGGGCAGATCAGTGTTCATTTTCTCTTCACATGCATTTGACGGTGAGAAACGGGTTTTCGTTTGTATGCGGCACAGGGCTTGTTCCTTTTGATCCGAGTCATCCATTTCATAGATGGAAAGTCCAAGGAACACAAAAGTGATGTGACGTGCTTAATATCAACCCAGTCCTTCTGCCGCTGGCCCCAGCGTGCCCCTGCGCAGGCTCCTCCCTCCGCTGCACGCTGAGCAGGAGAGAACAGAGCAGCACCCCGTTTTAACAGCTTTTAGATGTGATTCAACTGGACTGATCATTCAAAGGGCACAAGACTTCGCGTAGGACAGTTTGTCGTCTCCAGTTGAAAATTAAAAACCCGTGCAACAAATTCTAGAGAGTACTCTTGGCATAGCCATGCTATCCATTCATTGTATCAGAGACTAGTTTTCTCCTCCTGTAGCCTTAGTTCCTTTGGCCAGTTATGCCTTTATGTTTATGTTACCGTGTTGTTGCTCTTCCTTCACCTCCAGAACTTTTTTCCAGCCCCTTTTCCCCCTTATTTTGCCAACTGATGTGTTTTGTTTTGGTTTTTCATTTTTGCCTTTAGTTAGGGTGTAGCCATGGACTCAGGTCCGATAGTTCTCTCCTGTCATTCATCAGAGGTGCTTCCAAGGGCCCTGAGCCCATATGCACTCTGCTAACACACAGTGTGTGCAAAGCCAGCTGTCCACCGAAGAACATCGGTCATCTCAGTATAGGGCTTAAGAATAGGCATGCAGGACAGTGACATCCAAACAGAGTTTCACCTTCTGAGAAAAAGAGCCCCAATTGACGAGCACAATCAGTCAGTCTAAAGTCCTCCACGTTTTACTTTGGATCAGGAATCGGCATCTTCTGGGGGTTTCAAAGGGCAGGCTGCATGGTCTCTGTCAGAGCTCCTCAACTTCTTAGCCTTTGAGTATAGCAACAGCCCTAGGCAAGGCATTACCACACGAGTGTGCCCCCAAAGCTTGATGTTAAAAGCAGCCAGCCAGCATGTGGGCATGGTTTGCTGACCACTACTTTCCATTATCAAGCCCCCTAGTAGGTGCTCTAGTGACGGACCAAATTGTTACATAATTACATGAAAGTTGTTTTCTCCTGATTATCAACGCCACACGTGTTTTTTTGAGAAACAGACCCTCTTTAACTTAGTAGGGATTGCCCTCACTGTCCTCTCCCTTAGAGATGGTTGTCTGTGCATGTACCATTTGGCTGTATTCTAAATGAATGGTCTTACCACTTATTTTATGGTCTTAAATATTTATTGTCTAACCTCATTCTCCCTGGCAGAAGCCTGGCTGCCCATGGCCATGGTCCGGTGGGGGGGTGTCTTGTGCGGAGCATGGCTGTCTGTCTGAACAGATGGTGTCCCTGGCACATAATGATGCCCTGTTATTACTGGCTGTCAGCCGTGGGGAAAAGGCAGGAAAGAAACTGTTATTGCAGGGGATACTTCTGAGACAATGTGTTGTTGTGATGGAGTGTTAGGAGAATTGCCTTTAATTTTCATGTCCTCCACAGAGGAACGTACGACATTTATGTCAAATGTGATGGCGTCGGGAGATGTGTGGGCAACTACGATAATCGTGGAAGCTTTGGTGAACTGGCCTTAATGTACAACACGCCCAGAGCAGCTACCATCACGGCCACCTCCCCGGGGGCTCTGTGGGGTTTGGTGAGTGGAATCTTTATTTGACTTGAATGCTGGTATTTGTAGCGAATCGTTAAGGTGGCCATAGTGAAGCTGATAGAGCATTTTAACCTAACCGGTAGGTTTATTCGGGATAGTTGCTGACGGGGAGTTCACTGAGCAGCTATTGGAGGCTGAGTTCATGGGCACCAGGGCTGTGCCAGTTAAACCTTCATGAACTTCCCCCACTCCTCCGGTCAAATCAGGAGCCTTGGACCCACTGCCCAAAATGTTCCTTCCTTAACCCACTCTTGTGGACACAGGTGGCCACACAAACAACGCTGGCACTGTCATTGCTGGTGTCTCAGCATTCTGAGATGATGTATCTGATTTCCACCAGGTGGTCCCCTGACCTGTAGCAATGATAGCTCCCCAGAAGTTGTTAGAAATGCAGACTATGGGTCTCACACCCTGAAGACGAGGGCTCCTGCCAGTGTTGGAGGTAGCCTACCGCCCTGTGGGTTCAGGCGCTTGCTCAAAATCCCAACCCAAACTCAATGGCATCAAGTCGATGCCAACTCATAGCAACCCTGTAGGACAGGGTGGAATGGCCCCTGTGAGTTTCTGAGACTGTCACTCTTTATGGGAGTAGATAGCCCCTTCTGTCTTGCACAGAGCAGGAGGGAGTTTCCAACTGCTGACCTTGCAGTGAGCAGCCAAGCATTAAGGAGACACTACCAGGGTGCCGCTGGTGCTCACAAGAGCTTGAGAAATCACTCTAAATGGAGTGCCGGGGTCATATTAATGATCAGTAAGGTGTTTGAATTTACAAGCAGATTTACAGAGGAAAACCGATTTATATCTGCTCTTATGAACCTGGATACACATCAGAATTACCTGGTTTTAACACACATGCACGCATGCCTATACCTCACCAGAGACATTTAATTAAGACCTTTTGGGGTGGGGCATACTTGCCATCAAGTCAGTTCTGACTCAGACCCTCTTTTGGGTCTCCAAGGCTATAAATCTTGGGAGCAGATAGCCTCTGCTTTCTCCCAGGGAGCGGCTGGTGGCTTTGAACCTTGAAGGTAGCAGTGCATTGCTTACCAGACAATACCACCAGAGCGCCTTACCTGGGCAAGACTACTTTAAAAGTAAATTTCCTTGTGGTGCTCTTCCCACCAGACTGAAGTGTTGATTTAAAGACCCATTTGGGGAGAGAAAGTGATTCTCCTTGCAAATGGCAGTGGGGTGCAAAGGAGTGGACGGGAGTAGTGCTGATGAGGAAGATTGTAGTTACCGCCCCGCTGTTCACACTTCAGTTCTCTTCTGAATCCCCCGAGAAGCTTGTGGAAATGCAGGTTCTGATTCAGTGGGCCTCCGTGGGACCTGAGGGTCTGCCTTTCTCCTAAGTGCCCAGACGGTACCCCTGTTGCCTGGGCCTCAGGCTGCCCTTCAGATCGCACTGGTTGAGGGGTGAATATTTGGTTGTGATGGTTTTAAGTGTTAAAAACAGCTTACCCTACATCTTTGTCATGCCCTTATTAGATTATGTCTCTCGGAACATTCTGTGGAAGGAAGAAAGGCCAGTTTAAATATTAAGTTTGTTAACAATCTCATTTCCAAGAACTATTGGATTACGGATGTTACGCACTGCTCAGTGGTGACTCACAGTTTGACCCTGAAGTGGAGCCCTGGATAAAAATCTCAAGCAGAGGAACAAGAAATATGTTCTATTTCTTGTTATTAGAGCCAGGTGGTTATTGTTTACTTGTTAGAAACGTGTTGACTCACTGCTGGTTGTAGAAGAACCATGGAATTGTTACAAGTGGATGAAGACGTATTATCTGAAGTGTTTCGGGAACTGTCAAGGATTTGAATACCCAGCCAGCAAAATAAAAAACTCCAAACCAGGGTGAATGTGGCACACAGCAAGTGTTTGCAGGTCTTCTGAGCGGACACTGAACCTAGACTGTGCCTCTTTCCGTTACAGAAAGCTTTCTTTACAATTCCGTCATCCCAGTGGGAGTTGCAGGAGCCCTGGTGGCACAGGGGCTGCAGTCTGAAGGGTGAGCAGTTCGAAACCATCAACCACTCTGTAGGAGGACGATGGACCTTTCCACTCCTGTATATAGTTACAATCTGGGAAACTCACGGAGCATTTCTGCCCTGTTCTAGCGGGTCCCTGAGTTGGCATCTACTTGTTGGCAGTGACTTGGGTTTTAATGGGGTTACCAGCCAGAGTCAGATTGTCACACAGTAAGGATACCAGTTGGCACCTGGGGAACAAATAGTTTTCTGCCCTGGTTGAAACCTCATGTTGTCAGGTGCCGTTGAGTCCGGTCCAACTCGCCGTGTCCCTGTGTACAGCGGACAGAAACGCTGCCCAGTCCTGCTTCACGCTCACAGCTGAGGCTGGGCTGGAGCCCAGTGTTGTAACCACAAGGCTTGTTGATCTCGCTGAGGGCCCTCCACAGACTCATACTTTGTACTGTTCCATGTTGTTGTTATGTGCCATAGAGTCGGCTCTGACCCATAGTGACCCTTGTGCACAACAGAATGGAAACACTGCACGGTCCTGGGCCACGCTCACAGTTGTTCTTATGCCCGAGCCTATTGATGTAGCCACTGTCCACCCATCTCACTGAGCCCTTCCTCTTGTTCACCGCCCTTCCACTTTTCCAGACATGATGTTCCTTCTCCAGGGACTGGTCTTTCCTGACAATATGTTCAAAGTATGTAAGACCAAGTCTTGCCATCCTTGCCTCTAAGGACCAGCCTGGCTTTACTTCATCCCATAACAGATTGGTTTGTCCTTTTAGCAGTCCATGGTACTTTCATTGTTCTTCTCCAGCACTGCAATTCACACACATCAATTCTTCTATAGTCTTCCTTATCCAATGTCCAACTTTCACATGCAGATGATGCAATGGAGAATATGATAACATTCTTGCCCTTCAATACTCTAAAGAGGTCTTGTGCAGCAGCAGATTTACCTAATGCAATATATCTTTTGATCTCTTGACTGCTGCTTCCATGAGCATTGATTGTGGATACACGCAAGACAAATTCTCTGACAACTTCAACCTTTTCTCCATTTATCATGATGTTACCTATTGGTCCAGTTGCAAGGATTTTGGTCTTCTGTACATTAAGTTGTCATCCATACTGAAGGTTGTGATCCTCGATCTTCATCAGCAAGTGCTTCAATTCCTCCTCACTTTCAGCAAGCAGAGTTGTGTCATCTGCATCTCTCAGGTTGTTAATAAGCCTTCCTCCAATCTTGATGTACACTCTTCTTCATATAACCCAGCTTCTCTGGTGATTTGCTCAACATACAGAGTGGACAAATATGGTGAGAGGCCTGACACACACCTTTTCTGACGTTAAGCCAGGCAGCATGTCCTCGTTCAGTGTGTACAACTGCCTCTTGATCCATGTACAAGTTCCAAGTGAGCACAATGAAGTGTGCTGGAATTCCCATTCTTCTCAAGTTACCCATGGTTTATTATGGTGCACACAGGTGAATCTGTTTATTAAGGGGGTTTTGCAGGTATTCTCATTTTGAGTTGTGCCCCATCAGCAAGTGAAGGAAGGTCCTGAAAGCTTTGCCTCGTTCACACCATGAAGGGCGACTTGATGTTGAGGAACCAGTCCTTAGCCAGAGGGGTTTGGGAAGCCCCCCAACCCGCTTCACCGCCACACCCAAGAAGCCTCAGTTACGTACAGAGGCGGTGTGTGTACTGCTCGGCTCTCCAAGATGGAGGTTTCCAGAGACTTTGACAATCCATACGTTCCTCCAATGTGTCAAGCACATTTGCACATATGCCGCCATCATTTTCAAAGCATTCTCTTCCCACTTGAGCCCCTGATATCATCTCCCCATTTCTTCCCCCTCCCTCCGCCACCTGCCCTCCCTCATGAACCCTTGATAAAGTTATAGATTATTATTTTCACATCTCACATCGTCCTAAGTCGCCCCTCACCCACTTTTCAGTTATTCGCCCCCATGGGAGGGCGTTCTAGTTGATCCTTGTGATTGATTCCCCCTTTCTCCCCTCACCCTCCCCTAATCCTCCTGGTATCTCTATTCTTGTTGGCCCTGAGGGGGTTTATCTATCCTGAATTCCCTGTGTTGCGGGCTCTTATCTGTAGCAGTGTGCATGCTCTGGTCTAATCTGATTTGTAAGGTAGAATTGAGGTCATGATAGTGGGG